GCTAGAAACAACCTGACAACACTGTAAATTATTTTAAATAATTTCAAATTAGATTTTTTAATCAGGGGTAGAAAGTATTGTTTAAGACAGAAAATTTAACAACGTATTTATTACACTATATAGCATCTGGTAGAGCATATGCGACGTTGTCAGATTTTAATTTAAGAATATGTTCAACAATTGTTGGGCATATATGTATATATAAGTAGTGTGTAAGTAAATTTTTTTTTTGCACAGTATTAGTCAAAAATAATGTCTTATTTATGATACAACCTAAAAGGACATCCATTGATCCCGAGAGACAATTTTTGAATGCCTCTCTCCTCTCCTATATTTAAAAAATAAAATTGCATAATTAAAAACGATAATATATTAAATTATAATTATCTTCCGAAAAAATTATTTTAATTATTTTCCTTTGGCAAATCTTTATTCTGTGATAAAAATACTTTTAACTAAAATCTGTCTAAATTTTAAAATTCCTTAGGGAACCAATTCCAACTAATGGTTAAACTAGACATGGAATGACAAAGCTAAATAACAAAAAGGAGATAATGTAGTCCCATATTGTAGTTCGTTCAACAGAGTTGTAAATTTTCTTTTATGCTGTCTGTCTGCAAGTGGTCTTTTATCATTTGTTCATTATTTCAATGGTTAATTATTCTTTTTGCATATTATTACTTCGTAAATTTTTCCCAAAATCAGGTAACAGGCTCACCGTATTATCTGATCTTGTTATAGCTAATTATATTTCTATTAGTATTGATTTGAAAAATTCTTAATGTTTGCAGGATTTCCTCAGAATTCTGTCTACACAATATTAACTGGAGGTAGTATAAGTAATTAACAAATTTCTAATGCTATCATAAATTACGGACGACTCGGCATTGGTTGATGAGTTTTAGGGACCTACAAAAGACCCGTCCGGCCTTAATTTATTCATTAAGAAAGAAAATTTCCAAGCCCGGATCATGGCTGGATGATTGTTAATGACATTCTATTGTTTTTTCCTTTATCTATTTTTTCTTTTGAATGTTTTTATCTTCAAAGTTTTTATATATAAAGTAATTACTTTAAAGTGAATTAAATAATTAGAGTACATTAAAAATCTGAATTCTGAAGAAAAGAAACATAATAATAATTCAAATTTTCAATAAGTTATAGCTAATTTCTTAATGCAAGAGAATTAATTTTGTTGGAATAAAAGTTCTCATATAAGGATTGTGGAGAGGATCATCTTAATGTGAGTGTATAGAATATGCGAGAAAAATTATTAGATAGCTCGGACTGGGATTCGAACCCAGAACCTTCCGAAGACATGTCGGCTACTCTACCATTTGAGCTATCCGGTCTATACTAAATTTCCTTTCACTTATTCTATATACATTAAGCCACACCGTCCATCTTACGGCTAGCATTTTTAACAAATATAAATAATGCTGTGAAGCGGGAATGGTTTCATTCCCACTCACAAATGATGTTATAAATTTCTTCTGCTTGAGTAGAACCACATCCATCTGGCAATGCAGGTACACCAAGGAGTTTTTTTTGTCCATTACAAGTAATCAAAATAGGCAGTCGTTCAATACGTTCAGAAGTCATACTATCTGGGATCAGTTTACCGTCCCAGTGTATAACTGCAGCATTAACTTCAGATTGGTTGAACAGTAGTTTAATTTTTTCAGCCATTTTTTTTCGTGAATTAATTCGTATCTCATGGAAAGAAGACTTATTTAATACGAGATCACGTGGGTCGACTCCCATAGCTGGTGCCAAAGCTAAGATAAGACGAACTGATTCTCTGTACGAAATATTACAGCTGTCAAATGCTGCAACTACATCTTCTGTGAAAAGGTTAATAGTTCCTCTGAGATGTTTTGATTCATAATATCGTCCAACTGCTTCGAATTCAGACACGGAGGTTGATTGCGAATCACCCAAAGTGTCTCCACTAGACTTTATTTCACTAACTGTTGCTGAAGTGCTTGGTGCATCGGTATCTGTTAAACAGTACAAATATTCAAAAATAATATTAAAATAACTTCAAAGATCTTATGAAATAAAAGCGCTTAATGTTACCAAAGATTTTTTCTGGACTCGTCACGTGATCTATTGCTTCAAATGATTGAGTTGAAGATACATTTTCGGGGGACTCATCGTTTCGCAACTGATTCTCCGAAGATAATATTAATACTTCTGTAATTCAATTTAATATTTAAATAAATAAATTTAGATGAGATAGTTAATTTTACTTAATATTTAGTTTTATTAGATATTTTCAAATCACCTGATTCCGGCGACAATTCGATGTCTGTTGTTACATAATCCAAATGCAAAATTCTTTGAGATCGCTGATCAATCAAAAACCTTTGTGTCTCATTATCGATCATTTCGAAAACCTTACCGTGAGCAATATCAAATAATTTGTCGTGAAGATTAGAAAATTCTTGCTCTTTTATTTTAGCTTGATTATCTCGGTTAGTAGTTTTTTGCACGGATCTGTAGTCTATATAAAGCTTATTTAATTTTGCTACACACCGTGAATTATCTTGAGTTGGGATTTCCGCATTGTTCCAAATTTTTTTTATTTCAGATATCACGATTGAACAGCTGCCTCCTATTGATTGTTTTAGGTCTCGTGTGTGGTGAAATAACAGTTGCAAAGCTTCTTTATTTGTTGGTAATTTTTTATCATTTAGAGTATTTATAGTTTTGCCAATTAGAAATATATTTTTTCTTAAATCCATAGGTTGAATGTCACTCATCGTGAGTAACAATTTGATTAAGATTTTAGGTTATGACTGGTTACAAAGACGTTATTATAATCCTTGATACTCTAAACAGGTTTTATTTATACGTTTATATTTAAAAAAAGCCACAAATAATGAGGTTATACTTCACTGATTCCAGATAATACTATAAATCACATGAAATAATAATTTAATAATAAATATAACGTCTACAATGATTGACAGACTGAGCCGACTAGTCAAAATACTAAATCCTCTATATTAAAATAGATGAAATGAAAACAAGTGTGAAGTTAACTGAAGATCGAACTATAGCAAAAAAATAGTCCCCGATTCCTTATTGGATAAACAATTAAGGCACGAGCAGCGCGCAGTTTAAATACCTAGTTACTCTCTGAAGCGCATACGTAACTGCGAATTCATTTTTTTATAAAAATAATTGTGAAAAGAAATTCAACGTCATTATTTGTATCAAAGAAAAACTTTTTAAAAAACAAAATTTTTCAACATCGTATGAAATTTTGTGTAATTTTACAAAAATTAATATGTTATGGAAAAAAAATTAATTATACTAGATATAAGTAAAACTAGTACCAAATTAGTTCAATATAATACAAGAGTTTATATCGAAATGTCTTTTTAATAATTTTCCTTATATTTTTTATGATAAATAATTAACTTTTACATAAATAATGACGATTTTTCGGTCAAAATAAAAAAAAAAACAAAGAAATTATTTTTAGCTTAACTTTGAGCTTGAATAACTTTTGAGCAAGTGAATTTATCGAAAAAAGTTAAGAGTAAGTTTTTGTAGAGCGTTCAATTTCCTACGAGAATATTTGTTTGCCATTGCCGTATATGAACTAGCATACGAACAGAAAAATTAATTGTAAAACGTGCCAAAACCCCATGTTATTTAAATGGGAAATGTATCGTCTTTGTGGCAAGATTTAATATCAATATTAAGGGCTTATATGGGTCTGATATTTTTTTTTAGGTCATGAACTAAAAATTTTAGGGGCGCTGCAAAGTCAAAAACCAAATTGGTAAATAACGGACACCCTAAATATATATATAAGTATAGTGTGTAAATAAATTTTCTTTGTGCACAGTAATAGTCAAAAATAATGTCTTATTTATGATGCAACCTAAAAAGACATCCATTGATCCCGAGAGACAATTTTTGAATGCCTCTCTCCTCTCCTATATTTAAAAATAAAATTGCATAATTCAAAACGATAATATATTAAATTATAATTATCTTCCGAAAAAATTATTTTAATTATTTTCCTTTGGCAAATCTTTATTCTGTGATAAAAACACTTTTAACTAAAATCTGTCTAAATTTTAGAATTCCTTAGGGAACCAATTCCAACTAATGGTTAAACTAGACATGGAATGACAAAGCTAAATAACAAAAAGTAAATAATGTAGTCCCATATTGTAGTTCCAAAGTTCCGAGTGAAAAAATGTTAGTTTTTGATATTTTAACAGCTCTCTCCAAAGAACAGCTTAAAAAAAAATTTTAAGAGGTCGCTCCAAATTTTTTTAAATTTCAAAAATCGTCAAAAATCGAATTTCTTTTTTTTATTTTTTTTTCTCGTTACGTCATAATTTTATAGATCCGAAAAAAAATTTAAATTTTTAATTGAAACTTTCAGGAACTTATTTTCGTTTGGTCTATAAAGTTCAAAATGTGAATTTTAAAAAGTTCGTTCATAATTTTTTTTTAATTTATTAGTGACTATTTAATTGGATTAGCATTTTTTGACTCTGAAATTTAAAAAAAAAATTATGAGCAACCTTTCAAAATTTAAATTTTTAATTGAAACTTTCAGGAACTTATTTTCGTTTGGTCTATAAAATTATGACATAACGAGAAAAAAAATTAAAAAAGAAAAAATTTTGATTTTTGAAATTTAAAAAAATTTGGAGCGACCTCTTAAAAATTTTATTTGAGCTGTTCTTTGGAGAGGGCTCTTAAAACATTAAAAACTGACATTTTTTCACTCGAGACTAAAAAAAAAAAAATAGTCGGTTTCTGTGTGCCACCTTTTGAACAGTCTAGGGTTAAAATTCCAAATACATGCAATCACGTCTTTTAATCCAAGATCGATATTGCAGTAAAGTAAAAGACCCGAAAAATTGTTTAGTAAATTGTTTACTAAAAATTGTTTTCTAAAAATTTCTTTTGATTTTTCTAGCATTGCTTAAGATCATTTTTCTGAATTGTCCATTATTAGTTAAACAATGCGATTCATAGAAATCATTTTATGCTGCTGTTTTGTATTTACTGGGCACTTTTCAAATGGAAGCCGCATTATGATGCTTCAGAAATTAAAACGTGGCTCATCAATCATACGGTGAGTTGATTATTTTTCTAAATTGATTTTAATTATTTGTAATTATTTTCAACATTGTTTATTGTTTACACAGATGGAATTAATTAACAAAGGTTTCACGGATAATTTAAATCCAGTGATAATAACATCTGATTTAGTTGATGACCAAGTTGTAAGTGGAAATTTCGATAATGCAAATCCGCTGATTATAGTGAATGGTAATTTCAAACGTAAGCAAATTGAAGGGTACCATCCTGGCTATCCTACGTACGTCATCAGGTTTGAATCCATGGAGAAGCTGATTTCACTCATTTTTGAGTTCGTGGGCTCAACAATTTGGAGTATAAAGTCACCAATTTTCATTCTGGACATTTCTGAAAAGTTTCATGTTACGATACCTTATTCAGCTCTTGGATTTCTTGCAAGCTTCGATATATTGGTATCATATTACTTGCGTTATGATAAGGATCAAGATTCAACTATACTCTACACTCTGAACCCTTACACACAATTCGCTCCGTTACCTTGGAATCAAGTTAGAACTTCAAATGGCAATAGTACAACAAAGCTGACACTATACAGCATGCGGTATCCGAAAGGTAATTATTCAGTTTAGTAATAAATTACGATTTGAATAAGAAAAAATAAAACGTTCGATTGAGCCAATTACCACTTTTAAAAAAGAAAGAAATAATTAAATAATGTTCTTTTTTTAAATGAATTTAATTCATTTTCAGATTTGAAGAAGAATTATCAAAATATTCATTTTGATAAAACGCAGTACTTGGACGGTCATAAAATAGAATTGTTGGCACTTCGTGATTTAAGAAATTCAACCAAACAGCATAAACAGAAAATAATTAATAAGTACATAAAACATATTGAAGAAATGCAAGATACCACATTACATTCTTTGTCTGATTATGCAAACGTAAAAACGTCACTTCATGTCATCGATAACTATTTCACTACCAAAATGATGAAATCAGGTTTTGATAAAAATCTTCTCAGTCGTCAGTATGATGCATTAAACCAAGAGAGTCAACTAGCGGATACTAATTATAAATTAATTGATTTTGTAACGCAATTCCAAGAAAGATCCTTTTCAATATTAACGAAAAAAACTGATTATCTGGTGGTAATCAGGAAAGTTAACATAAATCTGAATTTGATCTGTATCACAATCTTTGTGTTGTTTCTCCTTCTACTGATCGTAATAATGAATAATAAATTTCACGTTAGCCAAGGTATTATGGATATTGTGAGCATGTCACTGGGAATGGGGATAATGTCTCCAATCAATCGTCTCTCGATGAAGATCACTTATTTCTTTGGATTTTTATTCATTTTTGTAGTGATGCCCGAATTCCAAGGTGAGATCTCAGCAATTCTATCACAACCAGCCCGACGTAATATCGAAACTTTAAAGGACTTATTCGACAACAAGTACCATGTATTTTATAATCCGTTATTGATGAATGACATGATGAATGAAAAATTGTGGGTGACTGAAGAGGATCAGAAATACTTGCATCCATCAACTTATCGTGATTTGGACAAATGTGTAATCGAAGCCCAACAAAATTCAACTATCGCTTGTATAGGCATTACTCAAATTCTACTTAAAGACGCTTTAATACTGAAGAATCTTCATGTGTCAAAGGAAAGTCTCTTCAAAAATTATTACGTCTTTTGGACTAAGAAGAACTGGGCTCTGAAAGGCAAAGTTGACAAAGCTCGTTCACTACCGGTGGAAATAGGATTAATCAATCATTACAATAAGGAGATAGATCTACGGAACAAGATTAAGAAGATGGAGAAAATCAAAGAAGCTGAAAACTATGAACGTATTGACTTTGAAAACTTGGTGTTTCATTTCATTATGTTTGCGGCAACTTTGCTATGGAGTTTGGTCATCTTTGGAATTGAACTCTTTGTTGATCACATTCACTCAAAATATAAAAAACAGGAAAAGGAGCGACGACAGTTCATAGAGAGATTAAGAAGACAACCACGAATTACTTTATTTTCTCCGAGTCGGGTTGTTCCGTCATGCAGCAACGCATAATCCTAATTAAGGAAAAATCAATTAACAAATTAGTTGATGTGCTGCGTTAAATTTCACTACCAATTATTGTGTTTGATATGTAAGTAGTTTTGTCTTGCGAGTGTAATTTTCAAGTTTTTAATCACTAATATAGTTATTCTATCTTTAAATCTTCAGTATTAAATCATTTAAGAACTTTTGAAGTGAAAATATTACTGATATGTGTTGTATTTTTGAAAACTACTTATCTATAGTTTACAAGCTATTATGTGTTAAAAGTGTCAACGACTCAATATTTAATTTAAATCTATATGTATGCTTTGTGGTATTAAATGAATCGATTACAAAATAGCAATGCATAGGGGAGAGTGGGGCACGACGGCAACCTGGGGCACAACGGCCTTTCTCAAAAATTAGGTAAAAATTTTTCATTTTTCGTAAAGTTTTGACCTCTATGATGTTTTTATTATACTTTGGGCCAATGTATGATATTCGGGGAAGAATGGACCACTCAAAAAAGAAATTGTAGCGAAAAAATTATTTTTTTTTTCGAATTGTGATAAATTTAAGGAATTCATTATTTTAGGCCTTTTCAGGTCAATGGCATTTATTTTACGTAATATGAATTAGGAATAACTTTAATCAAACTGAAAAATTTAACAAAAAATTGAATTATATAGCTTTTAAAAATTGAAAACCCAGTTTTTTTTTAATTAAAACAGTAATTATATTATTAATTATTTGATATGATCCAAACCAAAATATTATACCTCTAGTAGATATTGAATTGTTTTTTAAAGTGATAATAAATTTTGAACTGATTGTTTTTTCGTACAAATGGAAGATTCTCTAAAATGGAGTGAGACAATTGCTAATTATAACGTCGATAAACGATTATTCGCAATGATCACAGACATATTCGTCGGACTAATCTACGTCAATACCTGCGCAAGAATCATGAGACTATTTATTGCAATTTATACAATAAATCCACGACTGTGAGGATTTTGAATAAAGTCAATTGCAATAAAGACAATGGCAATCATCATTTTTATATTTTAAACATTTTTTTCTCAAATTTTTTGGTTTTCTTCTATTATTATTATTTTTTTTTTTTTTGCTTAAGTAAGGTCCTTTTCTTGCTTCATTTTGATCTTTTTTTTCTTTGATTTTTTGTATTCTTTTTTTTTATCTGTACTGCAATTTGATTTTACATTTCAAAAATTGTATCTCGCTGCATTATTCAATTAATTATTATATTTATTTATTTAACCACATACTGAGGCGAAAGCCGAGTAGCAAAGATACAAAACAAATTTATAGTCTCACAAGTACTATGACATATTTATATAAAGTTAATTAAGTAAATTTAGAAACACAAAAACCAGTAAATAAATTTCAATACATTATTTAGAATAATCAAAAATGAAGAAAATATTTAGTATTTTTATTTTATGCAATTTAAGCGATTTTGTATCAAATTTCATCATTCGAATTATTACAGTAAGGTCTATAGAAGTTAAAAACTATTATTCCGTCTACATTATCGTTGCGAGAACGATTCAAATGATGGTGGTATTAATCTGGTTCTGTAAATATCGGTTATAACTTTCGCCGACCACAGCTTAGGTACTCTTGGACGTTCTGGATCCGTGAAATTTACCGAAAAAAGTCCATATCGGTGCTCATAACCTTGTGTCCACTCAAAAATATCAAAAAGTGTCCAAGTAAAGTATCCTTGAATGTTAAAACCTTCTCTCACCAGCTTAAGAACTTCTTTAAGATGGTAGTAAAAAAATTGACCTCTATCAATGTCATCTAGTTGACCTTCATCTCGGTAACCATTTTCACCGATAACTATTGCTGGCGTATTATACTTTGTAGTTATGCGACGAATAATCGCCGAAAGACCCCATGGATGACACTGAAACAGAAATATACTTTAATATCATCAAATCATGAAAAAGATCATAAATAATTAATTTAAGGTAGTTGGGGGTCTGCAAGGCATATTTCAAGAAAATTATGAAATTTTTTTTATCGAAAGATAAATATATTAATAATTCACCTCCAAAATTTCAGATCAATTCACCTCACCGTTTTTGAGTAATTAATTTTCAAAATTGCATCGTTTACACGTAGAGGTATAGAGACATGGTAAAGTTAGTATGAAATCTTCCGGATACCACTCGAGTGATGCAAATAGATTTCATACTAACTCTTACCATCTCTCTATTACTTTTACGTGTAAAAGATGCAATTTCGAAAATT